GCTAAGTTGAAAATTAGTGACCAGTGACACTTGAGAGCCACCTAAGTGAGCCTCGTGGCCAGGTGAGGATTTGAATCAGAGCCTCCTTAGTACTCATGCAACATTACAGCTCACCAGATCTTCCAGTTGCCACTTACTAATCCATTCTCTGCTACTCCTGCAAAAATACTAACATGTCCGCTGGAACCACGCATCCCAACATCGCCCGTCAGCACCCACACTTAATGAGGAACTCGAGGAGCGATCAGACAGCGAGAAAGGACAGTGTCCGATCACACTGGAAAGGTTTCCTTCACTGGGAGCAATCGCCCTTAAAGTGACCCTTCCATCCGTAGAGGAATTGCCCTCACCCAGCTCCAAAAAGGAAGGAAGGAAAGGAGGGAGGGAGGAAAGAGAAAGAGGAAGGAAGGAAGGAAGGAAGGAAGGAAGGAAGGCTTGGAAGCGTCTGAAGGACTTCTAGCCAAATGGAGGCCTTGGAAAAAGCAAGGGCGAAATCGTCTGAAGGTGGAAGATTAAAGAGCACAACGTCTGAAAGACACCGTGGGGGCTCCCTAAAGTTATTTGGAAAACGGCCAGAAGAACACTGCCCTGTTACGGGTGGGAAGTGAGAACTATATATTTTATGAAAGAAAGAAAGAAAGAAAGAAAGAAAGAAAGAAAGAAAGAAAGAAAGAAAGAAAGAAAGAAAGAAAGAAAGAAAGAAAGAAAGAAAGAAAGAAAGAAAGAAAGAAAGAAAGAAAGAAAGAGTACCCTGGCCACTGGACCAAAAACCTCCAGGTTAGACACAGAGCAGGATTGTTTTGATTTGCAATCTCCCATGTGTGAAAACAGGTCACACTGGACCGTGCCATAAGTGGTCCAAAATGCAAGCTTTTACTCTGTCTAGTTGCAACTTTGGTCTGATCGGCAAAAAGACTGGGAAAGGGGCTGAAGGCAGGAAGTATCAGAGAATGTTTACCTGAGTAACACCTTGTTTATCTTCTGTGGGGCCCTCCCCACTCCTCTCCAGATATTCCTGGCCCATATCCATGAAGCGACTTTTTTCCTACAGACAAGCAGCAAACCATCCTTTCTGGTTAGACAAACCCTTTCCTACATTGTTGTTTTCATTCATTCATTCATTCATTCATTCATTCATGGATGCATGCCTGCATGCCTGCATTCAATTTATATACTGTCCATCTAGCAAATTGCTATTCAGGGCAGTGTACTACAAATTAAACATACATTATACAGTAATACAGAAAATAGGTGATCCCAGGCATAAATCATAACCCACAACAGGCAGCAGAACGATTTCCAGAACATGCTGCAACGCTGCATTATTATTCTCCTCCTTCCTCCAGCATCCAGGCTATTTGGGAAGATTCTCCCAAAAGGCTTCTCTGAATAGTTCTGTTTTAAGGAGCTTTTAAAGATGCAAAGAGAGGGCCATCTGCCGTATGTCCTGTGGGAGAGAGTTCCACAGAGACAGCACGACTGCAGAGAGAGATCACCAGCAGCCAGTGCCAGGACGTTAACCAAGGAGGTAGAGATACAGGTGGCCATGGGGTCCAGGGTAATTGTAGAACATGGGAAAGCAGAACGGAAAAATTAGGGAGCCAGGATCTCCAGTGCTCTGCTGGTGGTTGGCAGGAAAATGGGCTCTGCTTACCACGTTGAGGTTCCGGACAGCCTCTCCTTTCTCCTGTGCAAAGCGCTGGCCCTCATCCACCATTTGCTCCTGAGTCAGCCGAGCCTGCCCTTCCAGCCTCTGCACTGTCCTCTGGATATGCGGAGAGAACTTAGTTACAAGAACCGCAGGGCGAGATAAAAGAGTTGTCGCTCTTTTGCACAGGCAAAGCTTAAAAGGAACAAGTGATGTTACCTGCAGCGAACAGAGCAGCTTCTTTCTTGGACTACCATTCCCATACTCCTCTTATCAGTTCTTTCTTGGACTACCATTCCCATACTCCCCTTATCAGGAGGGGTTCGGGATTCTGGGAGTTGTAGTCTTTTTTTAAAAAAAACTTTTCCCAGCTCTGCTAATAGTTCGGGATTCTGGGAGTTGTAGTCTTTAAAAAAAAACTTTTCCCAGCTCTGCTAATGAATTGTGGTTTAGGATTTTTGCTTTTGTAGCCAAGTCACATTTCAAAAGTAAGATAATGAGTGGGAATAGAGTTACTCTATTCATATATGAAATAATATTTTCTAGTTCATTTTGGAGGGCATGTGAAGGCTATTCTAGCATCCCTTTGATTGGAATTTTTCCCACTGTATACTGAAAAAGACGCAAGCAATTTGGATAGTCTTAACATGATGAGTTGCTTTTCTTCCCAACATTAGAATGAGTAAGGGAAATGAATGATTTTCCAAATACAGTAATGAGTGACAGTAACAAATTACTTTTAAAAACATAACTATTGTTGTAAATTTCCCAGAACAGTGCTCTGCACTATTGGATAGATAGATAGATAGATAGATAGATAGATAGATAGATAGATAGATAGATAGATAGATAGATAGATAGATAGATAGATAGATAGATAGATAGATAGATAGATAGATAGATAGATGATAATTTGCAACTTCAGGACATTCATCTTGTCCTGGAAGCGCCTCTTGACTCTCTCAATCAAATGGAAATTAAAACACAAACACAACAACAGTGCACACGCCCCTAGGATGATCAACCACCTTTTTGAAATATTTAGCTCATGAGTCACCTGCTCTTAGGGCATTTACCCCCTCAATGTGCCTATTACCTGAGAGCTAAATATTACAGCTTTGAGAAAGTTTTTTTTAAGGCAAAAGAAGAAATTAACTGTGATTCAATGCTTATTTTACTGAAAGGGAAAATGATCTTTAGAATTATCTCCCTCCGTTGCTTATTCTAGTAAAAACCTGGGATCAAAATGTAACTAGAAAGAAAGAAAGAAAGAAAGAAAGAAAGAAAGAAAGAAAGAAAGAAAGAAAGAAAGAAAGAAAGAGAGAGAGAGAGAGAGAAAGAAAGAAAGAAAGAAAGAAAGAAAGAAAGAAAGAAAGAAAGAAAGAAAGAAAGAAACTTCAGTGCTTTCCAGGTCTAGAAAGGTGGGGGGAGTCAACATCCTGAAGAAAACACTCATAACACACACTAAGACATGACCGTATTTTGCCCATGGGGGGCAACTGAGGCCCAGGCTGTCAGCCATCCCATTCCAACCTGACTCTGGCCAATATAGGTGGCGGGAGGAGGAGGAGAGACTCACTGTGCGTGCCATGGGTTTGCACAGGTGTGCATGGACACCTCTTTTTTTTTTGCCCATAGTACCATCTATGATTGGTTCCTGGGCCTTCTGCCCTGCCAACCACAGGGGGCACTGACCTACCATAGCTAGAAAAAAAATGTTTGTAAGGCATCCTCCAAAGCAGTGTTTTCCAACCCGGGCATTGTGAAAACACTCCCCCAAAGGCTTTTCTGGGGAGTCAGAGATCACCTTGTTTGTGTTGGATCCCTTGTTAAATGATTTCTTCCTTGCCCTTTCAGAGCCCGATATTCATGTGAGCGTGCCCGTGTATGTAAGAGGAACAGGCTCCTTGGTGGAGAAAGAAGCCTCCGCTTTCTGAGAAGGGATGACTTGACCTCCATTAAAAATGCCCTTTTTTAGGCAAAAGTGATCATAATAACTTGGCTATTATTAAAGGGGGTCGTGACTCGAAAAAGGTTGGGAACCACCACTCTGGAGGCAAAGACCGGAGACAGTTCTTGGGGCTGAGCTTCAGAGTCCGGGTCTTGATGCAAAGTCTGCCGTTGCGGGTTCGAAACAGCCTCCTCCGACAAGCACGCGGCAAAACAAACCTGCCAGTTTCAGGTCAACGAGCAAAGCCAAAGCCACCCAACCTGTGCAACGTGAGCGCAGCAAGCCCTGGCATGCATTCAGAAATAGCTACCAGACGGACTTTTTAAAAATATGCCCGAGTTGCTATACCTGTGAAACAGGCAGGAGAACAGCCGATCAAACCACTGGAGCACAGCCGGGAAAGGCGGCTTTTTCCTTTTCAATGACAACTCCTAGAATCATCATCATCATCATCATCATTTTAGAACCCTGTGGATCAACTCATCATCATCATCATCATCTTAGAATCATCGAGTCCAGATCCTATCAAGGATGCACAGTGCGGAATTGAACTCCCAACCTCTGGCTCTACAGTCAGAGATTTAAACCACTGAGCTATCCATGTTGGTGGGGGGATTCTGGGAACTGTAGTCCCAGAAAAAGCTACTTTTCCAAACTCTGGAGTAGGCACAAAAGCAGAGTCTGCTCACCTTCCTCTGATTTATACTGTTCTGCAGCTGGGCGATTTCTTCCGCCAGCGCCCGGCAAGCCGCTTCCTTCTCCTCCTCCAGTCGGCTCTCCCGCTCTAGTTGCTGAAATTCTAGATCTTCATAGCATCTCAAAGCTCCTTCTAGCATCTCAGATGTCTGGGAAGAAACCATCAAGGTTGACACCTATGGAACTGACCTAGCGCTGTACCACCTGAGACGTGTCTAATTTTTTGAAGCTAGGCAGGGTTGGACTTGGTTTAACTTGGAAGAACCATTCACCGGGGAATTTGAGAATTTGGAAGAACCATCACCAGGTAAGGGCAAAACTCAACCCTGCCCTCAACTCTGCAGGGTCGCTGCTAGGTGGAACTGGGAACGGACTGATGGTCTGGCTGACCAATTTCCTCACTTGTTTTTCCATTATCCTATAACGAGTGGCTTCTAGGCTTCTAAGACAGCAAATCCTGCTGGCGAGAGCTTTACATTAGATTTCCCCTCTTAAAAAGATAACCAAGTCTAAGCTTCTTGGCTCAGATGTTTAGATTGTGTCTAAAGCAGGTTGTAAAGTACAAACATTCCTACTGAATATCTCTTGCAACTTCGGAGAAGCAGAGAGTCACCTACATTAAAAAGGGAGCAGGGGTTCTGTATCTTTTAATTAATTCTTAATTATTGTGTAGAGCTGACTTTAGCACACGTCGCTCGTCACAAGCACATTGTCCACCGAAATTCCGACTTCCACATGACTATGTAAAAGTAGAGAAGCTTCATCTTCTGTTTCATGTGGCCACCCTAAAGATGCCACGTATTTAGAGGCTTCCACACGCCCACCTCTCCAGACCGATCACTATTATCCAGTTTTTAAAAAACTTGTCTAAAATCCATCTGCCCAGTCCTTCATTTGCTATTTTTAAAAAAGGGAGTTTTCCACCTGAAGGAAACCACGCGACTGTTTCTCCCAAACCTGCGGGCTAAAATGGCTGAGTTCCAAAGCCGTAGGAAATGTCAGCTTGTCAAAACTAAAACCTATGAATGGTCCTGTCGGTTAGGGTTTCGGGGAATTGTAGCACACAAAAATGGAACATTTCCCATCTCTTGATTTTTAGCACCGTCTATGGTTTGAGCACAGATCAGTCTTTTTACAAATATATATTTTGGGGGTGCTACCATTCCTAGAACCTCCACAGCCCAGCATAGTCATGCTGGCAGGTGAATTTTTGGGCAAGCGAGGCCAAAGAGATGTTTTTCCCCAACCTCCAGGATGGATCCCTTTTTGGGCAGGTCCCCTTGCTCTGGACTCACCTCCTGTAGCTGGCTCTGCATGCGCTCCCGCATGGATTCCGGCTGGTTGTCGAGGTGTATCTGTGTTTCAGCATGTTGACGCTGCAGCTCCTCCACCTTGCGACGTTCTTGTTGCAGCCGCGCCTTCTCCTGCCAGAAGAAGAAGAGAGGGCAGGGTAGCGTCGCTACCTTTCCACAGGCAATAAATAAATAGTCAGGTGTTCTGGGATTGGACACTCCTTTGATCAGCGTGGCGATAACACTACGTGTGAGGCCTCGTTCTCAGCAATGAGGCAACAACGTTCCTGGTTGACCAAGGCATCCGTGCCGGTGAAGGAGAGAGATGTCGATTGCTCCATCCTTCTGCCGTCGGTTGGCTTATTTCTAATTAGGTTTAATGAGCTATCGTGAGCTTCATGAAGGCCATTAGCCCATGTTTCCATGCTAAAGGAAGGGCTCTTACAGCGACTAAAAAATGTACTGGGTGAATCGGTGCTTGGACTTCACCAGCTTGTCCTGAAAGTGAGAGCTGCCAATGGTGGCCCTCAATTAATTTTCCAATCAGATTGACAACTAAATCCAGTGTCATCACTGCCACCTAGTGACGTAACTATATAATGACATTATCCACTAGGAGGAAACTCTTTCTTGCTGGTGGCTTCCACGGTCAGGCTTCTACCACCTATTCACATTCTTCCTTCAGCAGTACTGGTTGTTGACCATGGGTGCCTATGTCAGCTCAATCCACATTCTGAAACAAAGATACTTTTTTAAAAACTAGCAGCCATGCTGTTCTTTAGGCCAGGGGTCCCCAAGCCCCAGTTCGCGGCCCGGCGCTGGTCTGTGGCCATGGGATGACCAGGCTAAATCCACATTCTGAAACAAAGATACTTTTTCTAAACTACCAGCCATGGCATGACCGGGCTGTGGAGACAGATCTCCACCCCACCTGCACGCACTCCACCCACTCACCCCACACAGACACACACAGAGCCCGCCACCTGCTCGTGCAGGTGCCCCGCCCACTCATGAACATGCCCCGTCCTTCTGTGAGCACACCCTGCCCCTTCGCGCATGCACGCAAGCGTGCTCCACCCCTCCATGAGCATGGCCCACCTTTTTGTGCATGCACATGCTCATGTTCCACCCCTTCATGCATGCACGCTCGTGCGCTCCGCCCCTCCGTGAGCGTGCCCTACCTCACCCCCATGAGTGTAGGGGAGTGCCCCCCCAACCAGTCCATGACTCAGAAAAGGTCAGGGACCACTGCTTGAGGCAACATATCCACTGACTGATTCCCCTAAAAAGTAATTTCTAAGCTTTGCTTCAGATTTTACAAAACGGAGACTGTGCTTCACTAGAAGGTAAGATGGACCTATAAGAAAAAACACAGGGCTCCTAAACACCTCTAGTAATTGTACAATAAAGGGGATTTCAGCAGGTTCAGCTTAAATGGGGACCAAATTATGGACATTCCCTCATCTATACAAATAAGCTGACAGGAAAAAAACTGATTCATTTCGAATGTGTTGCTGGAGGAGAGCTTTATAGACACCCCGGACTGCTGGAAAGACAAACCAGTGGATCCTAGATCAAATCAAGTCTGAACTATCTCTGGAGGGAAGAAAAGATTGAAGCTGAAGCTGTCCTTTTTTTGGGCACATCCTGAGAAGGCAGGATTGTCTGGAAAAGACCTTCATGCTGGAAAAGGTGGAAGGTAGCAGGAAAAGAGGAAGTCCGAATACAAGATGGATTAACTTCCCTAAAGGAAGCTGCAAACTGGGGTTTACAAGTGCAGAGCAGGGCTGCTGAGGACATTCTGGAGATGGCTTATCTATTGGGATCGCCATAAGTCAGGGGAAACGTGACAGCACAGAACAACAATAACAAGAGTAAGACAAATACTAATAGTATACAGACATCATTGCTTCTTTTTTTAGTGCGTCTCTCCAAGAGAAAAGCAAAGGCTTTCCATACACAAAGTCCCCAGTTCTATCCCTAAACTCTCAAGCTGAACAAGAACCATGTTGTAAGGAGTGGAAAAATCTTATAAACCTGGGGAGCTGCCCCTAGTAAGAATCAATATTACGCTGCAATTTGAAGGAGCAGCTGAGCTGGTAGGATACAGACAGCAGTCACGCAAAACGTAGTCCGAGACTGCTGAACCTTTAATGATTGTAAGAACATTCAGCCAGAGCTTGCATGGCCCGTTATACCTGATGACATGTCTGCTTACTGGTATCAAAGGTTCCTTTCTATGTGGCCACGGTATTGTGTGGATTCTGCCATCCTATGGGTTTGCCACTAGATTCAGTTGTTGATTCTGCCATCCTATGGGTTTGCCACTAGGTGGCACTAGATTCAGTTGTCCACTTCTGAAGACACTTTGCGTGAATGGTTTGTCTGGAATTTTAATCCTGCAATCACCCTCCAACGTTCATAGTGTTTCTCAGAGGTTCCTGAAGGCATTATCTTCTATTCAGAACCCTCCCACGTCTTCCTACAGCGGCTCCAATCTGTTATTGCACCATTAAAAAAGATGTTGTTGAAAAAGAATAGACGGAATGCAGTCATGGCCAAAAATTTTGGCACCCTTGCCTAGTGAAATGATGGTACCTGCAATACAGAGCTCAGAGGGACTTGGGAGGTCCCGAGAGCGGTGTTTAAGAAGGGAAGCGAAATTGGGGATGCAAATGGACCAAGAAAAGAGAAAAACACCTCCAGTGTAGGAGAAACAACCTCTCCATCCAGTTGGATGACACTACTATGAGGTCAATAAGGAAACTTAGAGGCTATGCACTGATTTGAAATAACTTGCTGAATCGACAGAGATGTTTAATTTATAGGAAGGGCCACAGCTGCCAAGGGCGGAAATGAGATAAGACCAGCCACAACACAAAAAAGGGAGATTAATGAGACAGATGCAAAGTTGGGGGGGGGCTTTGGGGTAGAGATGGGCACATACTGAGAAAACGGTGTTCGTAATGGTCCATGGTTCATCGCTATTCACGAACTACGAATCACAAACTTTCACAAACTCTCCGACAAAATGGACAGTTTTGTGGGTTTGTGCGATTCAGGACTTCAAGGCGCTGTAGAACGGCCCCTGAATGATTTAGAGATGCCAAACTTGCACAGAGGGTCTTCAGCTCTATTTTGCCCCGATCCAGGTTTTGTGAAGATTGCATTCGAGAGGTCCGAATTATAGCTTCCACCCCCCACCCACCCACACCCAATCAGGTTTCCCAGGAAGGTGCTCTTCAGCACTTTAGTGCTTTGGGGGACTATGATTTGGACACCTCGAATTCAATTTTTGCCAAACTTGGAGAAGTTGGGGGGAGAATCAACCCAAGAGTCAGTCCAAGTTTGGGGAAGATTGGATTTGGGACGTCCAAGTTATAGCCTGCATATGAATCACCAACATCAATAATAGTTTGGTGTTAGAGATGGGCACGAATTTTGGGTTGGAAGTTTGTGCTGGTTCAAAGAGTCAGTCCAAGTTTGGTGAAGATTGGCTTTGGGACGTCCAAGATATGAATCACCAACATCAATGATAGTTTGATGTAGAGATGGGCACGAATTTTGGGTTGGGAGTTTGTGCTGGTTCATATGTGTGGCATCACAGGTGCTGTGTGTTCCCTCTACAACCATCACCCCCACTCGGTCAATGACCCACTCAAGGCACCACAGGTGCTGTGTGTTCCCTCACCACCATCACCACCACCCGGTCAATGACCCACTCACCAGTTGGAGTGCCCTTCTCTCCTCCTCTTCAGCTGTTCAACCAATCCCTGGCAGGAGCATGAGGTTGCCTGTCCCGCCTCCTCGTCTGAGTGGGCGATCAGCCAAGGAGGCGGGGCAGGGAAGCCTGCGCTCCTGCTGGAGACTGGCTGAACTGTCAAAGAGAAGAAGGAGAAGAGCATGCGCCAGCTGGTGAGTGGGGGATCCAGCCAGGGAGGTGGGGAAAAGGAACGCATGGCATCTATGGTGCTGAACATATGAATAGGCACGAACCTCCAAACCAAGATTTGTGCCCATCTCTAGTTTAGTGTTTTGTATCATTCCTGGCAGGCGTTTCCCCCAAACCACCCTAAAACAAACTGCAAAATGACTCAATTCATGGGAGTGGGTTTATTTATTTATTTGTTTGTTTGTTTGTTTGTTTGTTTGCTTCATGGTTCATCTTGTGCCTGTCTCTACTTTGGGAGTCACTGAGGATTCTTGGATGATTTTTTTTTAATTAAGTCCCTCTCCTTTATTTATTTATCTAAGTCCAGGAAAACAAACACTACTGCACAGATCCCAACTTTCATCTCAACTTGATCCACCTATTGCGGCCACAAATGCATCGGGAGGAAGCTGGCACAGAGTCTGGGGAAAAAAATGGGAAATCCTGGGGAAGATGCTCGTAAGAGTGGCAGACGGCAGCGCCTTACCTTTTCCCGCTCCGCCTGACACCTGCGCTCCGTCTCTGCAAGTCGCCTCTGCAGCTCCAGCAGCTGTTCCTCTTCCCGCCTCATTTCCTGCCTCTCTTCCTTCAGCTCTCCTTCCAGCAAAGCTCCTTCCAGGTCCATCTAGCAGAGATTTGATCCATGTTAAAAGAATGGTACAGTTCCAAAAATGTCCCAGCAGGAGCGTAGATGTTTATAGGGTTGACACACCTCTGAGTCACCACTAGAGGGCAGGGGCTCAAACACGGGAAATGGAAAACGGGGAATAGAAGAACTCAAGGGTCGAGTCTTCCCGGATCCTTGGGTTCAACACCTAGACAACACACCCTATCTTGTGGAGAGCACCCTGAGGTTCCCTGTTCCGCAGAACCAGTCGACCCGGCTCTCTGATGCACCTGTGACATGCCTCACTCCTTCCCCACCTTGTCCGGGGCGTGGTGCCTCCGCCATACCGGTTTTACAGGTGACAACTGTTGTCTAGCAGACATCCCCCTTCTTCGCTACGACCGCAGGGAGGTGGCAGGGAAGGCCACGGCGTACCTCTATGCTCAGCTCCTTCTTCTGGTGGTGCAGCTCCTTGATCCGATTTTCAAGGACCGAAATCTTGCTCAGCGTGAGAGGTTGCTGCTGATTTTCTGCCTTTGAAGGAGACCCATTCCTTCCTGCACACGGACTCTCATGCTGAGAAAGGAAGGTGAAATACTGAGAAGCTGTAAGGATGCAGAAGGTTTTGCCCTTACATAGGGATCCTGTATTACAGTTCTGGTAGGCATGTGAACAATATGATAGGAGGGAGCAAACTGGTGCCCTCCTTCCTGATGCTTTGGGTTCTAATTCCCACCAGCCTTGAGTAGCCACATTTTTTTTAAAGGGTGAACACTCCTTTACTCGAAAGTCTGCTAGAGCCAGGGTCCCCAACCCCCGGTCTGCGGCCCGGTACCGGGCTGTAGCCTTGGCAGGACTGGGCCATGGAGACAAATCTCCCCCTGCACGCATGCCCCCCATGCATGCACATACACTCCCCTACATACATGGATGGATGCACACACACCCTGCTCAAGAACGCACGGATGCACACATGCCCCCATGCATGCACGGATGACCCACACGCATGCATGCACAGATGGGTGCCATTCCCACACATGCATGCCCCCCCACATGCTAAACTGGTCCACGGTTTGGAAAAGGCTGGGGACCCCTGTGCTAGAGAACCAACAAGACGGATTTGGGTGGTTTTTCCCCCTTTTTCCTGTATTTTTTCCTGTATTTTTCCAGGCTACCAGTCACGGTTGACCTGATCTATTTTCTTTCCTCAGGCCAGAGCTTAACGAAGTTACTTTTTTGGCCTACACAGCTCTCAGAATCCTCCAGCCTTCCCAACCGCTGGAGTTTCATTTCCTAAGTGCCCTGAACATCTCACGGTCATACCTCCTGTAGTTTGCAAATTTGCTCTGTTTGTTTTGTGTGACTGGCCTGCTGTTACAAACACAGGTTTTCTTGCCAAGTCGGCTTGCTCAGTAATGAAGATCTGCCCGAATCTCGTCTCTAAAACACTAACGGAGTTCCAGCTTCTAACCATGTACCCATAACATACAGTTTGGCCCCAAGAGAAATAGTATATTTAAACTGAAGCTCCTGGCTCAATGTTTCCAGAAGAAGCCAAGATTGGAGAACCAAGAACAAACTCTGGTTTGCAATCCTGGTTTGTAAGAGGCGTAAAAAGGAAGGAATCCTTGTTTAGGTAACTTGGTAAACTCGATGGCTAGTCATGCAGCACAACCGTATGTGTGCACAACAGGAGAGAGAGTTAGGGGAGAGCAAAACCCTGAACAACAGAAACACAAGGTAAACAAACTGGCCGGGTCATCTTTTATGCAACACGGCATGCACAATTATAACCTTGTGCATAACTTATGCAACGGCTTGTTAAGGCCAGAAATTCCACCAATAGGATAGTAGCCAATATTTGACTCAGAGCAAAGGCAGCTTTTGTGGGAGTGGGGATGAAATGTGCAACCCCCCCCCAAAAAAAAACACGAAAACCACAGCTGTTGAAAGTCATGCCACCTGGAAATAGCCTTGACATGTCCATAAATAGGAAAACCAACAGCCTCGGAATTGCCTTGGCATCTAATTCTGGGGTGATCTGGGAAAGGGTGCTAGAGGTGGGGGTTGAGTGTGATCTTCAGAAGACTCACCCCATGCTGAGCACTCTCCGTGCTGCTGGCCTCATCCTCTTCTGTACAGCGGCTGGAGTTCCCCCCTGGACTGGAACCTCTCCCGGAAGAAAGGGAGTCGCCTTCGGTGCCGATCTGGGTAAGGGATCCGTCCCGCTCTGGGCTCCGGTGACCCTTTGATGCCTCTTCCAGGTGATCCTTCTCCAAGGGAGCTGGGCACGGGCAGAGCTCCGACTGGCTCAGCACCCCCATGCCGTCTGCGTTCTGGAGCACCATGGCTCAACGCCACATCATCCCTGCCTCCTGAATTCAGAAATCAAGAAGGGACGGCCCTGTCATTAGTGCATAAAAGCGTTAAGAAGAACGTCTTTCTACGGAGTCAAAGCAAAGGACTGCCTGGATAGCTTTGCAAATTGCCGGAGCTTCGTTTACAACCTCATATGTCATCTGTGGTTTGTGTGCCTGGGAGGGACTTTTATGGACCCGGGCGATTGTCTGTCTATCCAGCACTAATCAAGTGTTCCTTATAGCCTTTGGTTTCAAAGAGAGCCATGACTCTCTTTGTTTTGTGTGCCTGGGAGGGACTTTTATGGACTCGGGCGATTGTCTGTCTATCTAGCACTAATCAAGTGTTCCTTATAGCCCCGACTTTCTGTGAGTGTTTCTTTCCCTCTGTTTAGTCAGTTGGTGGCAGCAGTTTGTTTGCTGTTGATCTGTTTGGTTGGTTGCTAAGTATGTGTGCAGTAAATACTGTAAAGCAGCATACACAAGTCTGTAATTTCAAGCAACTGTAAGTACACACACACACAAAGTTGGTAATTTCAAGAAACTGTAAGTATATATATTCTTTCTACTGCATACACAGTGGTGCCCCGCATGACAACGATAATCCGTCCCATTGAAATTGCTATTTAGCGAAATCGTCGTCATGCATGGAATGCATTGAAACCCGGTTTGATGCGTTCCAATGGGGGAAATACCTCATCATCCAGCAAAGATTGCCCATAGGGAAGCCATTTTGCGAGCGCCGATCAGCTGTAAAAATGGCTGCCCTGCAAAGCATGGGTCCGGAAAACACAGGGCAGCCATTTTGCGAAGCCGACGATCAGCGGAAAAAAAATCGTTGTCTTCCGAACAAACGGTTCGCGAAGCACAGACCTAATCGACGTCCAGCGAAAATCCCCCATTGGAATGACTCTTTTGCAAATCGCTATAGTGATTGCAAAAAGTCATCGTTATGCAGATTTGTCATTTAGCAGGGTTATCATCTTGCGAGGTACCACTGTATCAGAGTGAGTTACAGCGTCTTTAAGTGTCAGTGAATGAGAAAGGAGTGGAGTCTGGGGAACCTCCAGCTATTCTCCTCTGTGGATCTCTGTACTTCTGTGGCGTGGCAAAAGAGAATTTTACCAAAATTCAAAACTCTGCAGCACAAATAACCCACCAAAATTACTCACTTGTATTTAAAAAAAACCTAGTTTTTCTGAAACACTAATAAGTAAGATGGCGTTGAAGAACTACATCATCCAATAAGGTGATAACAATTTGCATACAATCTGCATCTACCAAATTAAAGGTAGAGATATATATTTAAAATTAATTAGTGTCATTGAACAGAAATACAGCACATCTCAACATAGTGAAAGAGGCTGAGATTCAGAAGACCTGCCTGTCCTGGAGCTAATAGTAAGTACAGGCTACTTCAAAGCCGTTGCTTTCTCTTATATTCTTTCAGATATTAAGCCATTCTTTAGTTACACAGATCTTTATGTACAACACCCACATCCTGCTTTTCCAACAATGAGCGAAAGGCAGCCCACACGGCTCTCATCCTCCCTACTTTATGTTCACAACAACACGGTGAGGTAGGCCAGGCTGAAGAAGTATGACCGGTTTACTGTGTAACTTCTATGTCCCAACCGTGTTCTGAACCCTGTTGCGCCCAACCAAAACTGTAACTACTACACCCCACTGCCTCTCCTTTTCTGCACCACCCATCTTTAACTAGCGCAAGCTCAAGGAAGCTGGGAGTTGTAATCTGATGTAACTGGGGCTGCCGACTTCTTTAAAAAGAGGACTGCCCTCCATCAGACTTTCAAATAGAGAATGACACCCTGTAAAGCAGGATTCATGGCCACCCTTCCCGAAAAACACCTTGTTTTTCTATACCAATCACAAAGGAAATAAAGCACCTTGGTTTTGGCTATATTTTTCATCTTTGTTATAAATTCTGAGTTGTTTGTTTTTAAAAAAAGTTATCCACTTCCTTGTTCTCTCCGGAAGACCAATATTTTGATACATTAGCAGAGAAAACAGGAAGACCTATAACCGTTTGAAACATGTCTCCCCAATGCCATCATCCTTCCATCACATTAAATTAGAAGACCAACCCGTCCTGTCAGTGGCAACTCATTATCAAAAACTAAGGTCAAGCCCTTTGGAATTTCATTTCCTGAATTCAACGCACCACGTTGCGCTAATTTTGGCAGTCGTGGTGTGTGTGTGTTTTCAAGATAAACTTGCAAAAAAATAATAATTCCACCTCGTTTTCTGAGCAGAAACACTCTCTGAACACACAAACATTTCAGGGAAAGGGGGGGGGGAAAACTTGCAAAAAAATAATAATTCCACCTCATTTTCTGAGCAGAAACACCCTCTGAACACACAAACATTTCAGGGAAGGGGGGGGAGAAAGAGATGAAAACAGATGTGCAAATTAGACAAACACACAACAAGTCCCTCCAGTTTTCGGGTGTAAACTGGAACCAGCAGAGATGAAAACAGATGTGCAAATTAGACAAACACACAAGTCCCTCCAGTTTTCGGGTGCAAACTGGAACCAGTAGCTACGAAAGGATGAGCCGTGTACAAAAGCCGCACCACTGAGTATGATCCATGCAAAACCCAGATTCCTTGACTTTGTTAGTGTAACTTGTCTGTTGTTGTTGGACACACACAGACTGATGTGGGAGTGTGGAATACAGATGTGCAAATTAGACAAACACACAAGTCCCTCCAGTTTTCGGGTGCAAACTGGAACCAGTAGCTACGAAAGGATGAGCCGTGTACAAAAGCCGCACCACTGAGTATGATCCATGCAAAACCCAGATTCCTTGACTTTGTTAGTGTAACTTGTCTGTTGTTGTTGGACACACACAGACTGATGTGGGAGTGTGGAATCAGTTGAAGAATTTCAACAAGCCGAATCTGATTTTTTTTCAGGACAATAAACACCAAGAAACCCCTTGTATATAAAGGCCTTTGCCTTTTTCATCACCTGAGGTTTTTAAAAAAATGGCTACCAGGCCAATTTACACATGAGCCCCATGGAAGGTAGGTAAGCCTCTGAGGTAACATGGAAACCAGTCCCTTTTTTCTTTTAAATCTTAGATGGTGAGGAATCAATTGCTTCTTCAAGACAACAGTGTTGTTATTTTTCAGTTATCTTTATTTGCCTGAGGCACTGGTCCCCAACCTTGGGCCTCCAGATGTTCTTTACCTAACACTATCCTAACCAGTAGAGGTGGTGGTGAAGGCTTCTGGGAGTTGTAGTCCAAGAACATCTTGATCCATCTTAATTATATTATTATTGTAGATTTTAATTGTTGCTTTTAAATCTGTTGTGCAATATATTGTGGGGCGCCCTGAGCAGACTCCTGTCTAGAAGGTCAGGATAAAAATCCAATAAAAAATAAATAAAAATAAAACATCTGGAGGCCCAAGGTTGGGGATCACTGCCCTAAGGTATATCTACACTACACTTGTTCTAAAAACCATTCTCTGTCCGCGGGAATCTCTGGCAACTACAGAACATTTTCCGAAAACTTCAGGAAGAACAACCTTCAGAACATGGCAAAAAAAACCCCCGAAAAACCCACAACAACCATTACATCCCGGCCGTGAAAGCCTTCGCGAATACAGTCTATGGACAGTTCATCGCCTATGATTTCAAAAATTGCAGTTGTCAAAGTAGATTCCCAACTGTTGACAACATATTATTGGTTAGAGATGGGCCTTTTCCAAATGAGCAATGGACTTCTTGACATTTTCATCAGTGCAGGGCACAACTATATTGTAAGGTAAAGAAACACAGAAGACGTTAAGGAGCTCTCAACAACAAGGGTAGCTCAATCATAGCAGGAAAAGAGGAAGACCCAATATGAGATGGATTAAGTCCATAAAAGAATTCACAGCCTTGAGTTTACAAGAGGCAAATAACAACAGTTGAGTTACGGAGCAGATGCTTTTCTACCTGGACGATCTCAAGCATCCTTATTTGAAAGGACCAAGTGGCAAAAGGACTGGAAGGTCTTTTCTCCACCTGACACACTGTAGAATCATGCCCAGGTGAGATGTAGACCACAACTGGGCAAATGGGATCCTGTATATATATTTTTGAACTGCCACTCCTGTAAAATCTCCTAGCAAGCCATGCCACTTAAGGCTTTTGGGAGTTGTCAGTTAAAAAAATACTTCCCACTTGCCCACCTGGCATAGACCAAAGATAGGGAACTTGGTGCTTCCTAGTTCCACTAAGCCATACTCAGTTTCAAATACAGTGATGCCTCGCTTGACGACATTAATTCATTGCAGCGAAATCACTGTAGAGTGAAAATGTCGTCAAGCGAAATTTAAAAACCCATTGAAACTCATTGAAAACCATTCAGTGTGTTCCAATGGGCTGAATACCTGCTTGTCCAGTGAAGATCCTCCATTAAATAAATAAATATTTTTCGGTGCCTGTATAGCGAGTAATCTGTCCTAGAAAACAGCGGGGGGCCATTTTCTTAGCCGGTGGACATTTTGAAACCCGACGATCAGCTGTTTGCTGATCGTCATAAAGCGAAAAATCGGTTCCCGAAACAGGGAACCGATCGACGTTAAGCAAAAAAAACAATCTAAACATCGTTTTGCAATCGCTTTTGCAATCGCAAAAAACTCAACGTTAAGCAGATTCGTTGTTAAACGGGGTAATCGTCCAGTGGGGCACGGCTGTAAATTATTTGAGCCCACATTCGATTGATGGGTTAAAAGAAAAAGAAGAAGAAGGATGGAAGGCTGAGTGAACCTGGGATTGAATCCGGAAGGCTGAGTGAACCTCAAGCCAGCTGCCTGGGATGGAATCTGGGTCACGAGCAGAGTTTTGGCTGCAGTACTGCAGTTTAACCTTTGTGCCATGAGGCTGAGATCAAAGGCCACTGTGTGGGGTCAAAAACACCAGCAGAACTTAGCTTAATAAATAAGCTTTGAAAAGGACATTTTGACTTTGGCCTGGGGAATAAACTGCTCAAAAGCTAGCAAAC